ATCCAAAACTCTAATTTGAAAAGCTATATGCACCCCTATGTTCACTGCAGCATTGTTTACAATAGCCAAGATATAAAAGCGACTTCAGTTTTGCCTTGTCTTTTGATACATGACCGCTCACTTGGTTTTGACTGAAGCCACTCACATGGCTTCATTTCCATTCTCGCTCTTAAACGCGGCCCAGCATGTCCCTAATCAGTCATCTACCCAGGCATGCAATCTGCCCTGAGATCTGGCAATCTTTCTCCTTCGTGTTTGTGTCCGAGACCCACACAAAGCTCTAAAATAAGCTAAATTAGAGCACATTGGACCAGCCACCCTAAACCCAGACTTCTGGGCCCAGCTAGCCTCAGGGCTCCCTGTAATTTTGCCCTTTCTAATCTCACTCATCCTTCTCTAGTCAACCTCAGAGAGCCCTCCTCTCTGGCAGGCTAAGCTTGTCTCTGCTGCCTAAACTTGCCTTGCTCATTCCTGTTTCTGTGCCTTTGCTCTCAGGACACATTTCCTCCTCAAAGAACCAATGCCCTTCCTTGCCTCCTCCTTGCACCGATTCCAATCATAAGCGCCCTCCTCCAAGTCCAAAGTTCTCCCTCCCGGGAAGCCCCTTCCAGAGGGCTTTCACTCCTCCAAATTCCTGTATTTCCCTCTCGTTCACCTGGCACTTAATCACCTAGCAATCTGCTAGAGAGGTGTTTACCTTTAAATCTTATCTTTTCACATGACAGTCATTTCCTCAGGAGCAAGAACTATAAAACACACTTTTAAAAAACTGAAAACTACAATACTAGACAACACTAAAAGTTTTTGTAGGAAATAAAATTCTCCCAAAAAGAACAATCAACCTCATTTTTTCATGTTTCTTTCTAGCCCTTGCCCATTTCTGTTTACATTTTTATAAAATAATAGTCATTATAGTAGATTGAATAGTAGACTACTATAATAGTAAATTTAGTACAGTTGCACAACCATATTACATTCTCCTTTTACTTCTAACATAGAAAACAGTCTTCCCTGTTAAATGGCTTTGATTTTCACCACTTTTAATGGCTATGTAATAGTCTTTCCACCGAGATACTAGACAATGATTTACTTATACACTGACTTCTCCTAGATACTACATTCTTCTTTGTGTCTTCATGGCATCAGGTACTGTAAAATGCAAAGTAAAGCCTTGAGAAATGCCTACTGAAATAGAATATTGTCCGTATTTACTAACATCTACAATAACATCTGCATGTTTTTCTAACTAGATTTCAGGTATAATTTCTGATTTCACAATACCAGGCAGACAGCAAAGGTATTTTCCAAATACTTTTAATATAGATTTATTTATTTTGGTAGTTGATCTTGTACATATTTAAACACAGGAAACGCCTTGAGGAAATGTAATAAGATCCCATAATATCTAATAAGCTAGTCAAAGGGCAGGCACTCAATAAATATCTAGTATTTTTAAACCACCTAAAGCTCCTAAACAGGAACTTTACAAATTCCTAACAGGAGAGTATCCACTGATCTAAGTAGTACCATCAATTATGCTTGTAAAACTTGCAGTTCATTTAATAATTAGATTGATTAATTATGTATGAATTGGTGTTCTTTACACTAGATAGAAGAACACAACCAGAGTCACCTGATGAGTTGTACAGTCTAAAACATAACATAAATGACAAACAATATTTGTAAATAGAACTTCGAGAGCTCATGACAACACAAGTTTATTCTTTAGCTTAAGTTCATATTTCAGATGAACAAAAGCAAAATTAAAACTATGTAAAATTACATGTGCACGCGAACACAAGCAGAATGGAAAGAAGAAAATGAGAGTATGAATTGTCAAAATGGAAGGATGTCAGAGACTTTTTCCTTCCTATTTTTTGCTTTGTTAGTAATGTTCACATGGGCAACAAGAAAAATATTCCAGATAAAAGCACATGTTAGCCATTGCAACTCTAATTTAGCAAAAATGAAAGAAACTCTTACTTTCATGATAAATGAGAAGTAATAAACCAACTAGCTACCTTAACACCTAAGCACAGTCAGATGCTGAATCACGTGAAGAACTTCATAGTTCACTAAAAGCTTGCAAATTTCAAACAGTAGCTGATGTAATTCCAAATGTCAAAGTCTATACAGCAAAACTGCATCACCCCAGTAATCCATTCTCACTTTATTCTTATTTGTGAAGAGAGATTTCTGAGGTTGATTCCAGCACTAATATATTAAGAGAGAAACAATTATGACTAAAAGTTTACTATTTGTCATAATTATATTACTTAATACATTAATTTTCCCAAAAGTAGTAACTGATCAAAGCAATATGACCCTTTTCAAAATTACTGGAAAGGAATATGGTTTTGTTTTAGCCTGTTTAAACAAACTCTAGCCCTGATTAGTGTCACTCAGTTGGTTGGGCATCATCCTGCAAAGCACAAGGTCACTGGTTCAATTCCCAGTCAAGGCACATGCCCAGGATGAGGGTTCAGTCCCCAGATAGGGTGCATACAAGAGGCAGCCCACTGATGTTTCTCTCTCACAGGAATGTCTCCCCCGCTCTTAAACATCGCTGGCTTTAGAATTTCACTACACTACATCCCATGAGAACCTCTAGATTTATGTAAACAACTACTTCATGACAAACTAGAAATAAAACCAATGGTCCATGTGCTTTCAGGAAATATAAGGCTTTGTAAGAGATGGCACTAAATGAATGAGGCAGTTTACCACAAAGGCATTTCTATTTGCCAAGTAATGGATCTATGTCTAAACCTTAAGTTTGAAATACATTTAGCTATGGAAATACATTCCATAGCTAAAATTATAATTCTATGCATCTCTCCAAACTCTGATATTGATAATTATTGCATCCTAATTAATGACAATTTATAAGTAAAAAGGATAGAACTTCCCCTCAAAAACCAAAACCCATGGTGGGAGGAGAGGAAGGACTCCATCTGAGATAGGTCTTTTGTGGTGGCTGGTTAACTGTCTCTTTTTAGCACTGACATAGCTAAGATTTTTTTCTGAAAAAGAAATTTTAATGATATGCTAAAATCATCCTTCCAGAATCAAATCCCAGATCAAGTATATTTTACATGGCTTGTTTTTTTTATTTTTTAAAGTTGTCCTAATCACTGTGAATTAAGGTGAATTTTCCTGAACACTGAAGAACAGGAGCTTTTCAAAACTTTCAAAGTTCCTCCCAGTTCTTTCATTTTGCCAGAGCATGAAACTAGTGAGGCCAAGCTAAACTAGTTTAAGTTCCTAGGGGAAATTCTTTGTCACCTAACATCCGTAAGCTGACCTAGCAAGGACAGAAGTAATCACCAATTCCAACAGAAGACGTAACTCCAAGATAAGAGATAAACCAACTCCCAAGAGGACAAACCAACAAAATGTATCTTAACTGGTTGATCTGTATGCCTCACTCTATACAAAAGGCAGCAAGAAAAGGAACACTGGAAAAGAACTCATAATCTCTACATAGACTTAAACAACACTTGACATAATGAACAAAGAAGTGGCAAGAACAATTTAGAAGAGATTTTCAACCTTTTTAATCTCATGGCATGCATAAACTAATTACTAGAATTTACCGCACACCAAAAAAATAGGTAAAATTTTGATTCATTCACACCTGACAGATATTGTTGTACTGGCTGTTGCCGTATTTTCATTTGGCACTCTAAAGGAAAAGGGGTCAGTAACCCTGACTAAACAGTCAGGTATTGCACGTTTCAAAAATTCTTGAGCACCAGGGGTTGAAAATCGCTGACGTAGAACGTGACTCTGGTACTTACAAATGATTCCAATTTGTTAAGAATCTTTTGAAAAGTCGTCTCCTGGGATTATAATATGACCCCCCAATAATAAATCTTATACAGAAAAGGTTTTCAAATATATTATTTCATTTAAAGTAACTCACTCACACTAAATCATCCTTTCAGAATCAAATCGCAGATCAGCCTGTGTTTAATTCGGCTTCGTTTATTTAAGTTTTCTTAATCACGGTGACAGTAATAAACTTGAGGTGCATTTAAATAAAGATGACAAAACACAGCCCACCTTCTCCTTCGAATGCCACTTGGGGTTCTATCCAGTCTATCTGAGTGTCTAAAGAGGATTTAAAATGTACTTGGTTTATCTGCTTTCTCTACCCTCCCTGCAGAATGAAGAGAATGTCTGAAAGATACAGTTTCACAAGAATCTTGGCACTTAAAACTATTTATTGTTGAGAGATGACCAATATGACTTAAAGTAAAAACAAAACTTTCTCAACAGTCAAAGAAGTGGGGGTAGGGAGGCATCTCTTCCACTCAACGTCACAGTTATTTACAACTCTCTATGATCGTCCACATTAAAAGGAAATAAAGTGAAAAAGCAACAGGAGGAATTTTTGCACTTGAGTGCTTTCTCAGGAGGAGTAAACCAAATTCCCTGCCATTTTTCCTGCCGCGGGCCACCAAAATGCAGGGTTAGGGCGGCGGGGCCGGTGACGTGGGGCTTCGGGGACCCTGGCTGCCCCGGCCAGGCCGGACCGGTGAGGACCCAAGGGGCGGGGGCCGCACTGACAGCTGGCGAGGAGACAGCGGGGACTCCTCCAGGCAAGGGCCGAGGGGGAAAGGTCGGGGAAGGAGGAAGAGAGCCGGGGCGGGAGAGGGACTAGGGCGCCCTCCTGGAAGGGCAGGGGAGAGGGAAAGGGCGAAAGGGTGAGAGGGCGAAAGGGCTCTGGGGCGGGACGGGAGCGCCGGCGGAAAGGACAGCGAACCGGGATGTGGGGCCCGTAGTGCCCCAGGACGCGGTGCAGACGGGGGAGGGGCGTCCCGCACAGGCGGGGCGGGCGTGGAAGGACAAGGTTTCGGGGTGCGCGGGCCGCGCTCCAGCCCGGATGCGGACTACGGAGGCGGGGCGGCTGGACCCCACACGGCGGCCGCCGCGAAGGGGCGCACCAGGCACCTGCCGCCTCCGCTGAGGCCGCCCCGCGCGGGCTCGGTTCTCACCTCTTCGGTTCATGGGCCGGATCCGGACGGCCACTTTCACTTTGGAGTCTCCCATCCTGCCGCCGCCTCTGCCGAGACTCTTGCTCGGCTTCCGTCTGCCGTGGCCACCGGGTAACTCCACGGGGCTGACCGGGCGGTAGGGGGCTGCGGCAGGAGGGGCGGGTCCTGGGGCGGGACCTATTGGGGGGCGGGGCGGCCAGCGGGGCTCCTGGCGCGACCCCGCTGCCTGACGGGACTTGTAGTCCCTGAAGGTGGTCGTGGGCAGAGCGGCGGCGGTGGAGGGCGCTTGGGGGAGAACTGTGGGCGTTTGGATCACAGGAGACCTTGTAAATGCCCTTCTGCTTCAGTACTATTCTTATCCTCCTAAGCCGTCAATGAGCTGGCACCTCACCTAAACATACTATTAAATAATTGGAATTGGAGACCATGCAACCTCTTCAGACTCATTACCTGCCAATTTAGTGTTTGATTTCGGGTTCAAATTATTTCCTCTACTTAGATTATCCTCCAGGCCTTGTTTACCGAAATCATCCTTCGAGACAAGTCAAAAGCTACCTGCTCTGGAAGTCTTTATAATATTCAGTATTGTATATACCGCTCCCTGACCCCCTTCCAGTCTAGTCCCTGGTCTCTGCCACCATAGGAAGAAGAGGCAATCTACATAATAAAAACCCTTCCTCTTCTTTTACTTAAGAGAAGTCCCTGCCCCCTCCCAAGAAACATTTTTCTAATAGTTCCCTTGTCTCACCCTTCCTTCTTTAAAATCTTTCCATTTTGTACAACTCAGAGCTCCCTTCTGGTTGCTAGATGGGATGCTGCCCAATTCACCAGTTACTTAGATGTTCCAATATACTCGCTTGGATTTTTGTTTGTTTGTTTGTTTGTTTGTTTGTTTGTTTGTTTTTAAAATCAAACGTGTCTGACTGTCTTAAGATGGGAAGTATTCAACAGCTCAAAAAAAATTTAAATCCTCACTTAGGACATGCTTATTGATTCTATACACAAGGGAAGAGAGGAAGAAACATCAATGTGAGAGAGAAACACTGGTCAGTTGCCTCTCCTACAACACATCGAGCAGGGACTGAACCACAACCTAGCCATGTGCCCTGACCAGGAATGCAACCCACAACTTTTTGGTCTATTGGACAATGCTCCAACCAACTGAGCCTCACTGTCCAAGGTGCATTTGTTTTTTTTTTTTTTTAAGCCCTAGCAGAGACCATTAACTGGTAGTCTGTGGCAAGATGTGGTCTGCAAATGAGTTCTGCTTGGCACAACAGTATTGACCAATGCATGAAAATCAGTAGATTTTTACATACAATACTGGGCCTATATTACATATTGGAAATACAGGTTGGACTTGATAAGCAGTGGCCCCATTGTAAGAGGCAGGTCTCCACAGTTCACCATAGCCCCCTGCAGTCTGCTTTACCACTCACCTGTCTAGATACCATGGGTTTATGACACCTGCTCAGATGTGTTTACATGATAGTGCAGAAATCAGAACCAGATGAATAAATAGAAAAAGTTGGTTAAGACTTTCCCATTTACCAAGCATCCCTCTCTGTTCAAAGAGCTTCAATAAAACCTGAGTTGTCAAAAAGGTTAAAAACACCCTCAGAAGGAATGGAATTTTGACACATACTGCAATATGGATAAACCTTGAAGATATTATGCTAAATGAAATAAGCCAGACACATAAAAAAATCCTGTATGATTCCATTTGTATGAGGTACCTAGAGTAGTGAAATTCACTGAAACAGAAGGAAGAATGTTGGTTTCTGAGGTGGGACAGGGATGGAGGAATGGAGAAGTAGCGTTTAAAGGATACAGAGTTTTAGTGCTCATTTCGGCAGCACATATACTAAAATTGGAATGATGCAGAGATTAGCATGGCCCCTGCGCAAGGATGACACGCAGATTCATGAAGTGTTCCATATTTTTACCAGAGGGGAGAGGGGAGGGAATTTCAGGGGAAAAGGGGTAGGATTTACAGGAACAAATATAAAGGACATAAGGACAAAAACTAGGGGGGGTGGATATGGGAGGGAGGTGGGGAGGGATGGGTGGGTAGGCTGGAATGGGAGTAAAAGACAGAAAACTGTACTTGAACAACAATTAAAATAAAATTTTTAAAAATTTAAATTGAAAAAATCTGCAAATAAAGGATACAGACTTTTAGTTTGGCAGGAGGAAAAGTTCTGGAGCTGATGGTAGTGGTCGCTGCACAGCAATGTGAATGTACTCAATGTCACTGAACTATACATCAAAAAATGATTGATGCCATGTATATTTTACCAGAATTTTAAAAGGTTAATATAGAATCATTATGTTGTATACCTGAAACTACTGTTATATATCGATTCTACCTCGATTTTTAAGAAAAAGGTTAAAAATAGAAAATGCAATGCCTGCTAGCAGGCCCTCTTTAAAAGAAGGGGATTTCTTTCTTAGAGGCACTTCCTCTGAGGTTTTAGGAGGGCCTTCTCAGCTAGAGAAGCAGTAGGCAGTGTTAGCACATTAAGTCTTGTGATTTTCCACAGCCCAAAAAAGTAAACAAATAAAATAAAAAGAATCAACTAAGAACTGCTACTTAATTTTACCAAGTAAAGTCTTTAAAAACTAATGCACACAATAATTGATATTGTGGGTCTTGAGCATTCATATTCTCTCCCCCCCCCCCCCGCACCCCCCCCTTCCCTCTTCTGATGATACCTTGAATCTAGCTTTTAAACAGAAACAAGGCAGGCAAAAAAAGAGAAGCTACAGTTTCTATGGGAACACTGTGTTTAAATTTAAGCTCAAATTTCAGAGAAGAGAAAGCCCCTAAGGAGTTGAAGGAGGGGGCATATCATAGGGAAGAGGTGAGGACTTTCTCTAAAGTTCCAAAACCAGTTAAATAGCCCTGGAAACATCTGATTGGAAGAAACTGTTACCCAACTGTAGAGGAAAAACCCCTGTGGGCTCTTGTCCCTTTGGACTTCTATTCACACTAGTCTCTCTCTTCTGACTTCTGCAATAAAGGTGAGGAGACAAGATTCCAAGGGAATCCTGAGAAAGGACTGGGATGCCAGCTACAACCTGCACCAGGAGCTCAGGGGTTTTCACACCAGGTGACTGGAAAGCTGCCCAGCCCCACCCACCCACCCACCCACCAGAGTCTGGGGGTGTGACTAAGCCTCCACCAGGTGAAAGGGGAAGTCTTGGTTTATCTCTTTTCAACTGAGCAGTAAGAAGAGAAAACTAGTAAATAAGTCACTCCCTTAGATCTTAAATAAAGCAAATACTTAAGATACCAGTGCAGTATTTATGGTGTAGATACTACATTCAAGACACTCAGGATGTTGTGGATCTGTATAATGTTGAATTTTAGCTGTGTCAACAAGAAGTTTCTCGTTTCTTTTTTTGTCCTGACATTTTGCAAATCTACTTATTCTAAAACTGATTTCTAGTTTACTTTTTGTTGCTTCGATCCACCCTTCCCAGTTTCTGATGCCCCCTGCACAGGCTGAGGAAAACACTTGTGTTCTTTTCATAAGATCGCCCTGGACAGAATCGTGATAGCTCACACACACATATGCTGAGCGCTCACTGTGGGCCAGACCCTGCCCTGAGCACTTTACAGGAATTGACTCACTCAATCCTAACACTAACTCTGTGAAGAGGTTCCTGTTATTACTCCAAAATTGCAGATGGGGGAACTGAGGACCCAAGCCACTTACCGAGGTGACACTGCACTGCTCCGGTGAACTGATCTCAACTCCACAACCTTCCCTGGTGGGCTTTGTCCACATGGAGCCCATAGGAACTCAAAAAGACCTACTACTCTCCATTCAACTTTCCCCAATAGTATCTAAAACCCCAGTATTTTTAAAAAGTGGGAGCTACGTACTAGGTTTTTATGTTTTTCCTTTCCATAAAGGAGGGAACAAGCTGATCACTTCATCAAGACCAGAGGCCAGACCTCTTGGGCATGAACAGGCATTGACCGGCTTCCCTCAGGGTTAGCTTTGGCAGAGCTCTTTGTTCTCCCAAATAGAATGGTCTCTTCTTGCCTCCCCGGGTACACTGTGAGCACAAGGAGCATGTCTTTTTCAAGTCCCCTTATGTCCAACACCTGGTACAGTGCCTGGTACTTAGTAGGCAGGCATTTCACCCGTTTGGGGGAATGAAGGTAGTAGCAACACAGGATCAAGATTAACCTCAGACAGACTAAATGGCTTGCGTCCAGCCGTGTTGCTAGGAAGCCAGCCACAGAGTGGATCGCAAATGCAAATGTGTGATTCCCCAAATCTATGCTGTTTCCACAAAGAAGGCCACGCCTACATATCCTCTTATGCATTTCTATGTTAGTGTTATCTTTCCTACATCGAGAATTCTTAGTAGAAGCCTAAATTTGGGTAATAGCAGTTTTCTGTAGCTGTTTTATTATTAGTAGTAGTAGTAGTATTTTGAGGGAAAAGAGAAAAATATTGACGTGATAGGGAAACATTGACCGGTTTCCTCCCATTCACGCCATTACTTGAGATCAAACCCACAGTGCGGGTATGTGTCCTGACCAGGAATCAAAACCCATAACCTTTCGGTATACAGAACAATGCTCCAACAAACTGAGTCACCTGGAAAGGGCTACAGCTGTTATTTATCAATATTTGTTATGGTATTTATTATGTGCCAGGCCTGTGCTCAGCACCCCGTATAATATATGATCTCATTCAGTTTCCACAATAATCCCATGAGATTGGCGCTCTTGATACGGCCTTTGACAGATCTGAGAATCAGGTGAGGCCAGTTAGCTTGCACACTGGCCTAAGTAGGAGGCTCCTGACTGCAAATCCTGGGGCCCCCTGAGTGCCTTGCCTGGACTGTCAAACCATTACTATGACCTGAACCTGCTTTTTTACATAGTAGCTGGTGCTCTGTGTGCTTTACTGATACTCCTCATCTACCACCACCTGGCAGGGCCTCACCTGCATCCTCCCATGATCTGAGGCTGCTCTCATCCATAACCTCAACCTCACCCGACCTGACTTGTTCTCTTACATTCGGGTACCAACACACTATTCTTCAACATCCAGTTCCTTAACTTAGCCCCTTTCCTCACACTCAAGCTCCTTTGTGGGTTCCTTTCCTTACAGTTCTACCCAAACCTCCCTCTTGACGGTGTTGCCAACAGCACTCGCACTCTGTGAGTCCCTCAGTTTAGGTCATTTCCCTCCTCTCATGCTCTCAATATTAGCCAGGAACCCAGCTGGAGGAAGCTGCACATTGGGGCACTTGGAGGCCCCCACAAATCTGTGGTCTTTGATCTCGGTGTGGCACTCGAAACCCTTTTCCTTGCTCAACTCCCCCTCCCAGGTCTTTTAACATCTTCGCCACTCTCTTCAAGCCCCAGCCCAACATGGTCACTCCCACATCACGCTGCTCCTACCTCACTGCGAAGATCAGGGCTCTCAGGTGAAAATTCCCTGAACGCCCTGTGCCCACAGTTTTATCTGTGACCATATTCAGCACCAACTTCTCAACCTTTCCTTCTCCACCAGCCCCTTCCCCTCAGTTGAGAATCTCCCATGGTAAAACAAGAACAGAAGTAAAACTTAAAGGAAAAAAACAAGCCCAACTTTCCCTGAGCTCATAGTCCACTTCTAGTCGCCTCCCCCATAGCCACACTCCCCCACATAATAATCTACACTCACTGTCTTTTTCTCCTTGCCTGTCATTACTCAACCAACTATTAATTCCATAGCATATTCATTCTCCCTCACCCCCTCCAATAAAACTGTCACGGCCAAGTGCACCATCAACCTTCTAGTTGCAAATCCAGTAGGGTGTCTTTTCAGTCCTCATTTTACTTGATTTCTCTGCGATAGTTGGTGTTCTTGACCATCCCCTTCTTGAAGCTTATGATTCCCTTGCTTTCCATGACATCTCTCTGGTCTCCTTGTTTTAATTCATTTATTCTCTTTGTCATCAAACCTCCCTACCATGTACTCGGCACTACGGGGTTAAGTGCATGGCTCACAAAAACAAAAAAAGATGTGGAGGTGGTCTTCAAGGACTAAGAAGCTGGGTTAGATTTCTGGAAATTTTGCAACTTCTTCAAGCTGTTTTGCTACCTCTGTGTTTGTTTGTCAGGGATGTGTGGGAATCCCCTGAGAAGACAATGACCTGGAGAACAGGAGGTTTGTACGCCTGGTTGGGGAGATCACATGGCAGTCAATGCCAAGGACACTCCACCCCATTCCAGAGCATGGAGGGAATGAGGACCCGGACAGCTGAGAGGCAGAGAAAGTGGAATCCACAGAAAGGAGATGAAGGAAACAGTAGTCTCCATCAAAGAGTTGCTGCAGAAGTGTAAGTTGCAAAAAGCTCCTGGAAATCAAAAGCTGTAACTCTTATACCTGTTTGTTCCACCATCATTGCCATCATGCCATTCTTTTTAAAATATATTTTATTGATTATGCTATTACCGTTGTCCCATTTCCCCCCTTCATTCCCCTCTACCCTGCATACCCTCTCCCACCCACATTTTCCCCCTTTGGTTCATGTCCATGTGTCTTAAGTTCTTTAGCTTCTACATTTCCCACACTATTCTTGCCCTCCCCCTGTTTCCATCATGCTATTCTAATCCTTCCAAAGTCATCGCTTTCAATGACCCTGCCCCAAAAGGTATCTCTGGGCAGGGAGTATCTATCTATCCTGTACATGGGACTCACTCTGGGGCCATAGAATGAGGTTTCTCCTGAAAAGGCAAAGCCGTACCTTGTGGGTTTAGGAGGCTGAATGGAATTGACCTAGATTTTTAAAGTAATTTAGATGTTTATGGGGTCAGGGAGGATTGAATGTGGGAAGTGGGGGTGTGTAGGACAGGGGAAGATAATGGGGGGATGGAGACAATTGTAATTGAACAACAATAAAAAAATTTTTTTAAAGAAATTTAGATGTTTAGAAGAGTCTTTTTAGGTATTGGAGGTTAAATACGTCCCTGAAATATGCTGGGCAGGAGGGACCCAGGCAAGGCCCTCTTTCCCTGGATCTGAACTGGAACAAGGCAGGATTCATGAGCCCCAGACAGCAGAGGTGCACCTCGAACACTCTATTATTTATGTATCAGTCTCCTTTGTGTTCTCTTTGTGTCCAGTGAAATTGTGTTGAGTTGATGTTTCTTTGACCTGTGCTAAGGGGAAGCAGAGGAAGGGACTTTTGGACAGAGCTCTGAATGGCAAGGAGTCTACCGCTGAGGCTGATGTGGTGAGGGCGGTGTGGACGGGAAAGACCACAGCAAGAGTCAAATCAGAAGTCCCGCTGAGGGAACCCGTGAGGTTCCTGGGGCCTGCTCCAGGAGAGTCCTCGGTTCATCCTGACCTAACAGCCCCGGGGTTTGCTTTAATATGGGAGGTGCTGTTCCCTACCTCCTCCTCACCCCTTTCCTGCCCCCCAACCCCCCACCCCCATTACTGGGGTCTCTCATATCCCCCACACTTCTGCTTTGGTTGCTCTCACTCAGATTGCTACCTTCTTTAGGATGCCCTCACCCTGCCACTTAAAGTCTAACCGTTCAAACCCTGTCTTTCTCCATAAAGCCAGCCTTCGCTAATCCTAAACATTACTGTTTCCCCTCTGGGAACTTTTCTAGCACTGTACCATATTAGCATCAGGTTACAAACCAACTTAAATAATATATGCAGGTCTTGTCTCTCTAATTAGATTGGGGACTCAGTAGCAGGACGGTGCCTTATCATCTTTGGTTTTGCTTGTAGGGATGAGCACCCAGACGACATGATCTATTCTAGGGGACCGAGTTGTTCCAATTTAAAGACACGGAGATGGAAGAGCCAGGGCAGGAGAGATGGCTTTAAGTTAATTATTTTGACTGATAACCTAGAGCGATAAGAAATTCCAGGAATAAAATAAGCCTACGTCATCAGGTAGAAGATCTTTTGAATATCACTTTGCCCTCCATGTTAAGGAAATGTAAATCCTTCCTAATCTCTGAAGATCCAGAACTAAAAGCCCTCCCAAGACACATAGATTTCTCAGTAAACTTTCCCAAAGTGTTCGCTGTTTGTAGGAACAAAAATTACTTCCCCTTTTGTTGAAAAGTATTGCTGAAAAACAACATCCATAATGAATCTCTGAAAGGCCTAGTTCATCTCCACAAATCATTTAGGGACAGAGGTCAGGAGAGGGGCCTCTTTCGGTGTTATTCAAGGCAAATTGCACAGTTCGGGCCCTTTTAGAGAGCACAGAAGAACATCCATAAAATATTCATAGAGTGTGGTCCGAACGCATGGCCTGTCTTGAGGACCCATGGCTAAGGGATTAGATGAGTCGGATCCACGGTTGCAGCCACAGAGGATTCCACAGCTCATCAACAAATCTGATTTAGAACTTTAAGGGATTTTCTGAAACCACAAAAAAAGGGTGGAGTAGCGGGGAGGTAAATTTTTTTGTCTAAGGCTCCAAACCTAAAGAGAAGCAACTGTCTTTTTTCACTAAGAGGGCTATCGAAGAAATATTAGATGAAATGACAGTTGGAAAAAAAAAGAAATACCCCAGAAATATACCTAGGGAGGAATCCCAAATTTATTACTGATACTTTTTTCCAAATGTAATTAAATCTAATATTTGATTGTATATATATGTATATATATATACATATACATATATATATATATATATATATATATATATATATATATATATATATATACTCAATGCAAGGTACTTGACTGGTAAGGAAGTAGAAAGCATGATACACTACATTTCCAGAAGGTTAGAATTTATTTGAACATAATTACAGTCATCCCTCAGTATCCCAGGGATGTTGGTTCCAGGATCTCCCATAGATACCAAAATCTGAGGACATTTGAGTCCCTTAGTTGGTCCTGAGATTCATAAGTTCCAAATCTGCAGATACAACCAACTTTTGATCCAAAGTTGGTCAAATCCCACAGATGCAGAAACCCACAAATACAGAGGGTTGACTGCTGTTACAGTGGGAAAAACATCCATAGAATTCCTCCTTCGATACTGGGCCGGTAATTAAGATCCTGTTTTCCCAGGATGTTGTCACATATTGCAGCTACAGGTGGGTGGAGCCTGAGTCTGGCTGGTGGAGAAAGAAGGACCATTCTGAGTCACCCAGATTCAGATCTAGAAGGTGTCACCTAGGCAGGAAGCATGAGGGTGAGGCACCCAAATCCAGATACTGGAGGGAAGAGAAGGGCAGGGCAAATAACCCAGGCTACAGAGAGTACCACACATGGTCTTCATCTACTAGACACTGGGCAGGAAGCAGTTAAAGAGAAACCCAGGACATCTGCAGCCCAGGGGCTCTGTAATAGGAAGTTAACTTAGTGTTCATTTTTCTGTGCCACTGAGGGAGACTTGTTTTCAGCTGGGACCCAGTCTGAAAGCTGTTGTACCCACTAGAAAGCGAGAAGCTCTAAAACCCTCCCAGGGCCACAGCATGACTCAGAGGCAGCTGAGGACAACCCGAGACAGAGAGGGGACAGCAGCTCCAGTCTCCCTCCTTTGCATCGACTATGGGAGGAAAGCCCCCCTTAGACACACAGAACCAAGTAGCCATCCTTCGCCAGTCTAAATTCCAGACAAATTAAAGGCTTACGGGTAAAGACTTGAAAAACGGAAGTGAATATTTAACTGATCTCAAGCAAAGAAAGGACTCATCGGTAATGGTAAACACACAGAAAAACGTTTTCCAGGTCTATGTGGGTGGAGCTAGGGCTCAAACTGGGGTCCGTGTAACACCAGAGCCTTACTCCTAGCCCTGCCTGGAACCGCTTCCTTAAGGAGAACATAAGAACAGGTAGCTCAGAAAACAAAGACTTGTCAGGCATGCCCAAGAAACTCACCAAGTGCAGAAAGAGCAGACACCAAATTGGGAAGTTTTGGCAATATATGATAGATGTAGAGTTATAGTTCTAAAGACTTATGAACCAGAAAGAAAAAGTCAGAAAGAAGAAGCCAATAGATATTTTGACAAACAGGTGGTTTCCAAAGAAAGAAGGGGGAAAATGAACCTGTGAAAAATGTTTAGTCTTAGTATCAAAGAAATGCACATTTACCAAAGACATAGCATTCATCATCCAACAAATTGACAAACTTTTAAATTTTAAAAAAATTTTTATTGATTGATTTTAGAGAGAGAGAAAAACATTGATTTGTTGTTCCAATAGTTATGCACTCATTGATTGCTTCTGGTATGGGCCCTGACCAGAGATCGAACTCACAACCTTGGCACATCAGAATGATGCTCACAGACTGAGCTACCCAGTGAGGGCCACATTGACAAACTTTCCACAAAAAGTTAATGCCTAGTTTTGGGGGAGGTGAGGTTGGTAACGTGACCAACTTTTTAGAAAGCCAACCCAGAATACATTCATACCAAACAAAAAAATAGTAATATAATGTATAATAAATAATTACACATGTATGTGCTATTGCTTTAACATAAAATATGAAAATCAGTACTAATTTTAAATTATGAGTATGTTTTATTCTGTTATTTATTTTTCTGTTACATAAATGATGTTTAAACAAAACTATGAGAGTGCAGTTTCCATTCAAGACTGCATTTCCCCAGCGACCAAGACGGGAGCTGGCCAGACCCTGTTGGAGTGGGCCGTCGGGAGCAGAGCGGAGCTGCTCAGCTGAAGGGGGCCTGGGCCTCAGGGGCAGTTCCCAGGCTGGCTCACAGCCCTGCTGCTTCACCGTTTGTGCGAATTGTTTCCTTCTTCACCATAAAAACAAAAGAAAACAAAACAAAAAAAAAACCAGACAAACCTCACAATGAGTCTAGTTTGCAAGGACAACTAGTTGGAATTAATAATTGGACAAATTGAGAAGTGTGAGAAATATATAAACATAATTTTATAATATATTTTTGTTCTCTGATACAGTAATTTACTTAACTCTTTAACTCTTTATTGGATATTTACAAGTTTGTAGTGAGATAATACATTAACAATCTTTTATATTTTCTGTAGTTTCATTAATTAATATCTTTATAAAAATAAAAAGTAAAAACTTCATAGAAATCATGAAGATGATTTGAAATGCCATTTTCATAGCAAAATACCTATGTAGCAGAACATATTTTGGGGGGAGAGAATAAAAACTTTTTCTTTACCCTCTTAGGTTCCGTTGCCGGGGCCTGTGGGTTAAACTTACAAAAGACCAATTAACAGGATAAAAGGTACAATTTTTATTTAATATTTATGTGCACAGGAGTTCACAGAAAAGAAGTGAAACTCAAAGAAGTGATTAGAACCCTGGCTGGTGTAGCTCAGTGGATTGAGTGTGGGCCTATGAACCAAGTGTTGCTGGTTCAATTCCCAGTCAGGGCAGAAGCCTGGGTTGCAGGCCAGTTCTCCAGTAGGGGGCGTGCGACAGGCAGCCACACATTGGTGTTTCTCTCCCTCTCTTTCTCTCTCCCTTCCCCTCTGTTTAAAAAGAAATAAAATCTTTTTTTAAGTGGTACAACATCATTTACCAAAAAAGAGAAGTGATTAGACTTGGATGGGGGGATGGTTATAAACCATTTTGACAATGGAAAATGAGGTTTGGGCTTTGAGGGGTGAGGAACCATAGAAATCCTACAGAAGTGACTAGGAAATATATGGGAGAACTACAGGAAGACATGTTTGTTTTAGTGAGAGCTATTGATGAAAGCTCACCTCAGTGTCGGCTTCCTGTCTTGGGAGATACAGTCACCCTTCTCTTTCTGTTCTGTGGGGCCAGGTTGCTGGGGATAGAGCACCTTTCTCAAGGGGGAAAGTTATGGCCTTTTAGGCAGATGGGAGGGGGGCAGAGAAGTCTGCTGTTTCTCAAGTGCCTTCACTCAAAATAACATGTGGAAGCAGCGTATTTTGAGGTGGCCTATCTGGTCCCTTCTTTATCACCATCATTGCCGTAACTGCCCTGTCACTTGATACACTATAGGAAAAGCATAATGGTTCATTAATCTCCACCAGAATCAGCTCTACATTGTAAGAGACCAATCCATTTTTTATCAAAATTTCCTCTTTTGTTCTCCCTCAGCGCACTTTAGTTTTAACCTCTGAATCAGGAAACGCAATCAAGGGAACCATAACAGAATCCGTGTTCCATTGCACAGTACGCTCACACTAATTTAGTGGCCATTCTTTTTTCAGGAAGCATGCTTTGGTGGCTTTTGGAGAAACAAATAATCTTTTGATTGATTTAGAAGGACTTGCCCTTCTCATCCGGGACTTTTGAGATTCACTCTCCATGTGTGCTTTAACATCCCCTTCCCCATCATGCCTGACCCCCAATTACCTTCTGCTCCTGTGTGCTATGCTGTGTTGTTACTTGTCTCCCTAATCAGGTACCTGTGTCTTTCTGTCTGTCTTTAAAATCACATTCACTTAGCCATCTTTTTCAGTGACATCTGGGTCATGCTGGTGTTGGTATTGTAATCTGAACTCTTAGAAACACAAACACTCATGATGTTAAAAATTAAACTGGCATCCAATACAAACAAATTCTCAGTGCAAAAAAAAGCACAGTAGTTAACCCACAGTCAGAGTCAAAGACAGACTGTTAAGGTCATGAGTATGAGCCACTGGAATTGCACAGTTAAGTCATATCACATCTAATAATGTAAAGTGAATGACTTTACTGAATGACTGGGAACCAAAAATCATGGCAGCCAGCATTCAGTGACCATGGAAGGTGGATAATCTATATTGTATCCATTTGACACTAAAAGCAGTTGCTGCTCTCGGCCCCTGGACTTTGGTCACCATGTGAGTTTTGTACTTTTCCCATGATCTTTCACTTCTTCTGCTGAAAATAAGGACCCACGGTGTCTCGTGATGGGGTTTCCTGGAATGTGAAACTGTGATTGCTAAAATAACTGGGACAGTCCCTGTTAAAACAGGACTTTAGATACTTGTAGTAGGAAGTGCATGCTTAGTTGGTGAGACTTTTCTGGAGAGCAGCTTAGTAGTGAACTTGAAGGGTCTTAAACATGTCCATACCTTTGAACCAGTCGTTCCACTCCTAAGGAATTTATTATCTTAAGTAAATGATTAGAGGAGGCCATAAACATTGATTATAACATAGAGTCACCTGAGTTTTATTTATCATACTCAAAGATTGAAAATAGTTTAAACTTTCAACAATAGGAAAATAGTTAAATAGTTAAACTGATTTTTTTTACAGTGGGATGCAGTCATTAAATGCAATCATTAAAACTCATGGAGGAATATTTACTGGCACAGGAAAATATATCCTCACAATAACTACAAAAAACAGTTGATCGCATAATCTCGTTTTAACCTAAAATTTGCATTTATACACACACATAAATATACAATGAAAGAAAAACTAGAAATACCCCAAGAATGTTACATTTCAGTGGGAGGATTATGGCTAAATTTAATTGATTATACTTTTCATATTTTCCCAATTTTCTGTAACCAACACATTTTTTCTGATTTGTTTTGCTTTTGTAACATTTAATTAATTACTTTTCTCCCATCCAAGTACTAACCAGGCCCAACCCTGCTTAGCTTCTGAGATCAGACAAGATCGGGGGCGTTCAGGGTGGTATGGCCAGAGACTAATTAATTACTTTTCTGAGTTATATATTTAATGACAAAAACAGCCTTACAAAAATTTTAAAAAAGGAACTTCCCTGTGCTGTGATGAAATAGGAGCAGTTTAAGGCATGACTAGATTTTGTGGTCAGCCACTGCTAAGATGAAATGGTCGAGACAGAATCTTGATAGACATCATCCCATGTAGGAGTGAGTGATATTGACGGACCCTGTCCAACAGATCACTTTACTGAGATACATTTAGTGTAAAATTCAAGTTGGTCTTCATTCAGATGCTCTTCTTCTCAGACTTAGAGTCATTATTTCTCACATGGATGAGGCAGACAATTGCTGTCATTATCCTTCAGACTCTGTCTTGTGGATTTCCCTGTTGATTTCTTAAAAATAACCTGGTAAAAGGTTGTACGGCCGTCTGAAGGTTGAGCCATGGCCAACCATGAATGTGAGCTTTCTGAAATCAGTAATAACGGCCATATCAGGAAAGGACTCTTCCACTGCAGCCAAGGATGGGACGCTGATGGCGAGATTAACCATGACCCAGTAGGAGACTCTGCAAAGAAATTCATCTAAGGTTTCACCAAGATGTAGAGAAGAAATTCGTCTCAAAACACCACTCTGCATTTTTTATAGTTATCTTTTATGCAATTATGTTGATGCTAACTATAGAGTGAATGGTGCACAGCTCTCCTTCCATAGTATGGATTTTCATATTCTTAATGATTCTCAAAGTCTTGAGTTAAAGAACTCTTCAGGGTGTCAGAGTAGATAGATCTGTGAAGTCGGTTGCCCTCAGTTGACAAGTGCAGAGGGATTAATTGCTCAAAGTCCCTTCTCCTAAAATGGGACTTCAGTTTAGTCCTGCACGGCCCCAGGATGAGGAGGGACAAGATGACCGGTCTGGAGTCTGTTGCAGGGGCTTTAATTAAAGAGCAAATTCCTTCCAGATGAGTGATACAAACAGCACGTGAAAAATTATGCAAATGTGGAGTCCTTGCCCCTTGTAACTTCCTTTCCAGCTCCATAGTCCAACATGGGCCGGTTTGATTCTGAAATCTCCTTTTTGCTCTTACTGGACAAGTAACTCTGACTTCCTGTTTGGGCCCCATGGACCAAGTGTGATAAAGGGAGAAAACTAGAGGAGGGACTGAAAAAGGAGCGAAAATCATGATGTTAAGATAGAAAGGATTGTGGCTTTTGCACAGTCTACCAGAACACTCTATGCATTACCCTCAGGTTCCAAAAACACACAGAAACAGTCAACTGTGTTGGGACTACCCCCTAAACTGCCCCCTTCTCCTTTCTTTGTACTAACTTATTCTAGACTCTTTTCTTCCTTGTTGTTTCATGTTCAACTTCTCATCTAGTTCTCTATCAGAAAAGTGAGTGGCCAGGACTGGGTTAGTACTGTGGGAAGGAAGTAAAGGCTGGAAAAGCTCAGAAGGCTAGGACCTATCAGGTGACGATCAGGAGGCAAAGTACCCGGAGCAAAGGTGTGATCTATCCTTGCTAGTCTGGGACTAGGGAGGAGCCCAGACAAGGTGAGATTCCAGCCCCAGCCATGGGGTGAGTAGGTCAAGGCAAGTCAGAAACAGGTCCTCCGTCCAGGATGTTATCAGGAAATCATAAACCAGATCAAGAATTCAGGAAGTTATGAGGTTGAGTTAAGATGTGTTTGTGGCCTGATTTGAAGACAAGGCTTCTTTACATCAGAAGGTACTTCTTTGTAAACCCTTCAGGGCAGGAACTGGCTGGACTTGGGCCTATACCAGACGAATGGAGAACAGGAACAGCCAGCCAAAGAGCAAGCACTGGAGAACTGTGTGGTTGCAGGTGAGTCTGCGTGAAAGTTCTACCGGGTGTGACAAGGCAGAGGTGACAAGGGATGCCACTCAACACTGGCTGCACATTAGACTACCCTGGAGAACTTTATAAAAAAATCCCAGAGCCCAGCCACACCCAGACCAATTAGACTGGAATTTGTGGAGGCTGGCCCAGGCGTTGGCACGCTTGGAAAAGCTCCCCAGCTGATTTTAATATGCAGCCAGGACTGGGAACCACTGAGTTACAGGTAGGTTCTCAGAACTGCTCCGGAAGGTTAATTCAGAGAGATTCATTTTCTTGTGACCAACTAGTAATTACAAAACAAGCTTTACAATAACAGTGTTTAAAGAAATATTTAAACAATAATAAACATGTTTTTACAATAGAGATAAATCAATACCTACTAAAGCTAAGGAATTGGAACTTCAACCTCCTGATCAAGATCCTGGAGGACTTTTGATCAGGCCAGTGGTATGGCCAAGGCGAGATTCCAGAAAGAGGAATCGGACACTGACATGGAGGGAAGCGCCAGTCTGGTTGGGCAAACGTTTATTATCAATGGCAGCCAGCATCTGCTGGGGCCGACACTGCCACAGTCTTACTCCATCCTGCCCGCAGTCCTGTCAGGTGTGCACATTGTTACCCTCATCAGTAGATGGAGAACCTGGGGTGACAAAGGCTAAATGACTTGCCCAGAGTCCCGGGCCGGTGAAGAGCAGACGCAGGATTTGAATCCGGCAGTCGGACTCCAGCATGCTCTTCACAGCTGCCTTGTAGTGTCGCCTCTCGTTTCATGAGCGATGGTGCCAGTGTAGTCTTTGGGGACACACAGGTGGATGTCACAGTTTTTGCCTTCAAGAAGAGGGATGCGGGTGTCAAGAAATACCCACAGTGCTGGGCGATAGGTGCCTTCAAGACGCTGCGAGAGCGCAAAAGGGGCGCAGTGTAGTCTTCGAGGGGGCCGATGCTGGGAGAGAGCAACTGTAGACTCAATTTGGGGCTTAAAGGACAAACAGAGAGTGGAAATGGGGAGCCCGGTCAGACAGTCATTGCGAGGGTCAGATCAGGGGACGGCACTGGGGCTGCGGAAGGGGAAGGAAGGTCACAGGGCTGGGTCAAGGTGAGTATCTTGGTCTGTTCAGGCTGCTGTAAAAAAATACCACAGGCTGGGGGAGATGACAGAAATTCCTCACTCACAGTTCTGGAGGCTGGGGAGTCTGAGATCAAAGCAGACTATATCTAGAGAGGCCTTGCTTCCTGGCCAGGAGCAGGTCCTGTTTTGCCTGGGGGCTCAGGTGGCATAGGGGTGAGGAGCTCCCCGGGGTCTCCCTCATAAGGGCACTAATTCCATCCGTGAGGGCTCTGCCCTCATGACCTAATCACCCCCAAGGCTCCACCTCCTAATCCCACTATGGGGGTTATTTCAACATGAATGGGGGGGGAAGGTACATACATTCAGTCTATACAGGAGAGAGGCAAGGGAGGTCCCTCGGATGCAAGATTTAAGGAGGCACCCAGTGTCACGGCAGTCCCCTGTGCTTGTGCTACCCAGAGCATGGCTCCCTTGTGCTGCCTCCTTAAAGTTTGTGCCGTGGTTTCCCAGTTTGCCTCAGCCAATCTTGTTAGTAGTTCCCCCTGACCAAACCAAGTCCAGGATATAGAACTAGCTTAAAGACTGTGTAAGTCAACGGGTTTTCTAAGACACATATGGACTGAGTAGGAGGTAGAAGGCAAAAATATGTACTGAGCACCAACTATGAACCAGGCACTACTCTAAGCACTTACGTGTGCATCATCTCGTTTAGTTTAATGACAATCAGCAGTATTTAAAAATTTAAAAAAAAATGGGTTTGTTTATAAGAATCAACTCATTGAGGAGAAACCAATCCCTGGGAAGGCTGGGGTTAATTTCAAGCCACCGCACCCCCAAAAGAGGAACTGAGCTTTCAACACCTTGAAGGAGGGCTGCTCCACGTCTGAGAAGGCTCATCAGACAACAGTGAGCAATCGAATGGGACAGTCTAGCCCTGGGTGTGTGTCTGGGGAGAAGCAGAGTCTGGGAGCCATTCCTGGAACCAGAATTACGCCACTACCGCCGGCAGCAGCCTGGAAATCCCCCAGCCCCCCGGGAGCTCCTTAGCTGAGCAATGGCTAAGGTGGTAGAATCCTGGACGGACTCCACAAAGGGACTCCAACACCAGAGCAGGAGCATCCAGGAGAACACCCACATTCCTCCCTGTCCCCTAAATCGTGGGCAGGTGGATGATCTTGAGGGTCAGCTCCCTGGTGAGGACTGGTGGAGGAGGAGTCAGAAATGTGAGGACAGGGAGGCAGCCCCTTCACATGAGATTTCCCCACCTTCCTCCTGGGAAGGGGCTCTATGTCTGAACTGAAGCCACAGTTATTATATCACTTTTCCCAAAGCTAACGCTGCTGTTTGGCTCTGCAGGGCGATTTGCTCACGAGAAATCCAAGACATTCATCTTGCTTATTCCAGGATGAATAGGCCGTGGTTTCTGGCTTCACACCCAGCTGACCAAGTTACACAGCAGAGCTCTCTTGGGTGATTTTTCCTTAAAAATATTTTTTGGGGGGCAAAATATATATAACACAAATTGATCACTTAAACTTTTTTTTTAAGAATATAGTTCAATGGCATTTAGTAAAAAAAAAAATTAAGGGGCTTTAAATCCTGGGATGTAAGAAGATGTAACTGCCTTTATTCTGTCTGTTGCTCTCGAAAACTCAAAGTCATTCTAGAATGGAAATGTCCAGATGTGGGGAGGAAAATTTTTTTTAAAGTTTTTTTATGTCTATGCTGCCCTGAGAGGGAAATTCCACTTTTTTTTTTTTTGGAATTACATAAAGTATTTACATGGGAACCATTGATTCTCCTCGTCAAAGCCACATAAAAGCCTAGGCCTGCTGTCTCATAGGATAGAGCAGCCTTGATTTGCTAAAAAAGAAAAGAAAAACAAAAAAAAACCCAAAACCAACTAGAGACCAAATTCAAAAAAGACTGAATAATGTTTGATTGGTTTAAAGCTTTCTCTGATTTCTTTTTGCTTAGGAATTTGATTACTGTGACCCATCTAATTACAGTAATAACAAATAATAGAGGGTTTTCTGTTTTTTGGAAAACAATAGCAAAAATGCAGTTTTCCCTATGTGTAAGTGTAATACAAAGTGCTTTACCTGTATTTAATTCACTTACTTCTCACAACAACCCTATCATGAGTATTATTATCCCTAATGTATACATGGGGAAACCAAGGCACAGAGAAGTTAAGTCACTTGCTCAAGTGTAAATGGCTACTAAGTGACAGCGCTCTTAAAAAATATTTATTTATAGAGAGAGGGGAAGGAAGGGTGGATGAGAGGGAGAGAAACATCAGTTGCCTCTTGCACTCATACCTGGGGACTGAACCTGCAACCCAGGCAACGTGCCCTGGGAATCTAACCAGTGACCTTTCACTTTGCTAAACAGCGCCCCACCAACTGAGCCACGTCAGTCAGAGCCACGGTGCTGAATCTTAAACCAGGCAGCTGAGTCCACAGTCAGTGTCTCTTTAACCAGTAACTTAGAGGAAAACGATGTAGCCCTGAACATATTACTGTGGAGGCCCCCAGGGATCCTCACCAAGAACCGCCTTCCAGGGAGCCCCCTCCCATAGGTGCCCCCGCTCTGCTGGTGTTTGTGGGAGAGGCTGCAAAGTGGAAAGAGCGTTGTCTAAGAGGAAGGTGTGTTCCAACCCCTTGAGCTATGCTCTCCCAGCCACGGCAGTAGCCTCAGTTTTCCTCATCTGTAACAATGGGGCTGAGCACAGTTGCTTCGTGGGCGGTTGTGAGGATTAAATAGAGCATGGTGCAGTGTGGACATAAACCCAATGTGTTCAGAGGATGGTCGGTGGGGGTGTTGAGCTGAATTGGTGCTGTTCATTCATTTGCACCCAGGTCTGAGACTTTACATTTATTTCAGATTCAACTTTATTGAATTGGATGCTGCTAATTTCATGAACTGGATGCAGCTAATTGTAGCTATTTCAGTGGTTCTGAATTGCGATCAAAAGTATTTCTTTCTAATAAACATCATATTTATTTTTAAAATTATTAAGTTGTTTTTAAGAGAATAAGGGAGAGAGAAACTTTGATATGTTGTTCCATGTATTTATGTATTTATTGGTTGCTTCTTGTATGTGCCCCGACCAGAGATCCAAGCCAGAACCTTGGGGATGGGGATGGGGTCCTAACCAACTGAGCTACCAAAGGAGGGACCTCAAAAGTGTTTGATAACCTTCCCAGCTTTGTGTATTTGAAAACACTAACGAGGCCTGGTGAAAAACAGATATTTTAACTCAGTTCTAGAAACCTCCCTTCAACGCCCCCTCCCCCACACATACACATGCAACCTTCATTTCTCTCTCTCTCTGTCACAGGGCCTAAGGCCTTGGCTAAGTCTTACTAATGACCCCATATAGTAGGGACAGATAGAATGGAGCGCAGGTAGACTGTACTTAACCAGCTAGCTGAGTAATTGTGTCTGAAAAGGGAAATGAGCTGTAAAATTTGTTTCACTCTCTTCCTCCCCTATAAAATCGAATTGAGTCTTAGGTGAACCTAAGGTGAAGAGTCTAGCTGTGATTTTATCATTCTTTCCGTCATTCCCCCCCCCCTTCCCTGATTCAGTAATTAAAGTGAACCTGGGGCTCCTTTAGCCTGATCCGTAGAGACAAACAAGGACCCAGCTGAAGTGAGAACCAAGGCCGAGGAAAGATTAACGCTAAGGCAACAGTGCCACCTTGTGACCAAGGCATATTTTTACTGAGGTCAACGTGCCCCTGCAATGGACCTTCATCATATCATAGGCAAATATACATAATATTGCTTTTCAAATTCTCTGAGTTTTGTCAGCTGTTTGTTAACTTGAGCATAACCCATAAATCACATGTCTAAATCATGGATGTATAGTGCATTGCCCATTTCTGCAGGTACCTGGTCAGGGCTATTTC